GTCGTTATTCTTTATTGTGGATACTCTGTCCACTTTTATCGCAAATAGTCTCACTGACCGGTAATCGACGACCTCCAGTACCGCGTATCGGGTGAAACAGTCTTTGACTATTCCCTGATGTAGAACCTATCTCCATTTCTCTATCTATTTTGGCCCACCAATTTTCGCGATCTTTCTTAAGGCTATTCCTGAATTGAAGGGAGAGGGTTGGTTACGGAAGACAAAGAGTTAAACGAAGGTTGGAATATCTGAGCAGTAGCCCACTTATCACTACCCATTCCGCTCGATGCAATTGGTAGTGAGGTTCTGATTATCCTGCGCGACGACCGATGCAGTATGAAATTACTTTTAGTTTGTGTTCATTGGAGCTTTATGGACGGGTACCGCCAGGGTGTCCAGCCGCTAAGTACCACCATTGACATTCTCGTAAAGTGGGTACAGAAGTGTTACACCTACCATCAGCACGTCGCGCAAACTATTCCAAAGGGCCTAGAGCAAGCGGGATTGAGGCTAACTTATTGTGGGTGAGGCGGAAGATGCAGATCCTGTCTCTTTTAGGCACAACTAAGCATGTAGTTAAAGTAGTGGTAAAGATTGTGCTCGCTAACACTAGCATAGAAGCAAATGCAGAATACTTGGAACTGTGTCAAAAACTCTAAAAATATATCCTAGAGTGACATCCGGTGTTCAAAGAAGATAAAAATGTAAAATGGACCTTCGTGTGGCGAAATGGTGTATATGCAAAAGCACAGGTGTGGGATGGCTACTTGTATAACCGTATGAATGCATAGCAGTACGACCGAGTGCATGCGCACGCACATATGCTTTTATGCACGCATTGGTATGCATGCAAAGAATTACCTAATAACACTCGTGTTTTTTATGGACTTGTGTAAATCATGTAAGTGTCCGAATCAAGCTATGGACGTATCCACACGTATAAACTCGTTACTTTGCCTCCCAGATCCATGATATCAGATGAGGTACATTTACATTCTTACGAATCTGAGAGGTGAGAAAAGGAAATCCCCCAGATACCTTTAACCGAACGGAATGGTTATGTGTAAGTGCTCGGTCTGTTATCGGCGGTGATCGTGAGACCCCACGGGATTCGAGTCCCTCTGATGTTCACCTTGTGGTCGTCTGTCCGTGTGTCATCTGATTAGTACTTATTTTGCTCAAGCGGTGTCAGTACCCCTTCTCTCACTAATTTGAATTATCCTAGACCGTTTCTTATTCCAACCAATCTCTTCCATGTATAGGCTTTTATGGGCCCTTACTGAAGCTACTTGGAGTATACTGACGAAAATCCTCCCACGAGGAACTAGAAAATCAAAAGCTATCAAAGCGCATCTGGAATATCGGGGCTCGTTAGCGCAAATGCCGGGACTCTCTCTGGTACCAGCCACTAATCCTGTTACCTGACCTGATATATCCTGTGATAATGTTTTCAGTTTTCACAACTATTAACCATGCACTTTCGTGCGCCGGTTTTGGTTACTATCTTTTGGCTACCCATTTGGATAAAAAAACAGAATGAAGATTGGAATGTTGAGGGCAGATTCAATGGGAAGATAAACGTTCTCATACACTGGAGTTGCAATAATATTGAGTAGATGCACAAGCGCCACTGTTTGATGTACTCAGCCTTATCACTCAGTGTCTCTAACCACCGGTTACAATGATCTCGGGGTCTCCATCCAGGTAGGCTTACGGTACCTATGTTACCCAGTCTCCTGGTTAGGGCTTTTGATCATTGTATATATATATTTTCCCGTTTGAGATGTGTGCTCTAATATTTATAGTTAGAAAAAAATGGTGAGCTGCTGTCACTTCATTTTCTTAGAATAATTTTTATTATGGATAAATTTTATTGTCTGTTCGTTCTTCGGCTCAATTTTAGCTTCCTTAAGATATCCCAAGTTCGACCAATCTTCCGCAGGGAAGATTTGTTCCGTGCGTCAGCTCTGTCGAGCTTGACATTATCCCAGTGATAGCACACACAGGACGTCGCAAACGAACCCGAATCACCATGTGGGCCGCCGTGAAAACCCTAACACTGACCTTGCTGTTCTATTGTTTCTCCATCACGCTCACTTTTTTCAACAATCGGTGCATAAAGGTTGGTATCTGGGACTGCGCCTCCCTATAACCGAATCTCTATTTCGCAGATATTCCCCTATCCTTTGTCAATCACATTTATGCACATGTGTTCCAAGTTTATTTTTGCTTGGATTATTCGTTCTCTGTTGGTTTGGAATACCGGAAACAAGCGAATCGAATTACCTTGGCCACGTTACGTGAAGATGGTCGCAATCGCCGGTAGGTTTCAAATGTTTAGATTGTTTTTTCTTCCTAAGAAATGCTTCGGAATCATTTTTAATACTTTTTCGACCGTTCACTCTATTATGTTCTTAAATAAAATAAATGCGATAAGTAGTTGCTAAATATCATTGAAAACAGCTTAACTTTTTGGGAACTATATTAGAGATTTGTTTTCTTCGTGAGAGTTACGTATGTTATGCATTACGATTTGGTAGAGAAAAGCCTGGCACTCTCCGTGCAGCCGTTTTGTCAATAGTACATGTCCATCCAATCGATTGGGTCTGATACTTGTGTCCGACGGTTTACTGTTTCGTCGCATTGGGCCTTCGAAAGTTTTCATTTTCTCAATCAACAACACAGGTTGAAGAAGACTGAACCCTATGATCATGAATAAATTCTGCTCAGTTGCCGAAAGTACCAACCTGGACCCTGTTATATCACATAAAATATCCGATTCCTTTTGGAGTGTGTTGCATTAAGTCGCACGATAGTGAACCTGTCTCCGGTGTAAGAAAAGTGATCGTGGATAAAATGGGTACCTTTTTGATGTGGAACCCTTCATGTTACTGGGTTTTCGTTTACAGATCTACCTCAATCGTCTGCGTAGCGCAGTGCTATCGGTTAGGCGAACGCGCAATAATACGCGGGCGGTGGTGTCACTATGTGCGATTTCTGTGCCTCTCAGACGCAGTCTTACCGAATCAAAGCGCTCTTTGAGTCATTTTGATCTGTCTGATAAAGCCGGTCATCTGTTATTCCCTTAACTCGCTTGGTAAGTGGACTAGAGGGACAGTCTTCGGAGCGTTTTATGCACACTTCGTGAGTCGAGCAAATAGATTAGACTTGTGGGTGATGCAAACAATCGTCTTCGGTTTTGTGTTTACATAGGTGATGGTTCTGCCATTTCAGTCTCAGTTTTAACAATCAATAACCATACACGTTGGTGCGCTGGTTTTTGATTACTGTCTTTTGGGCATCTATTTGGACAACAGAGCAGAATGAAGATAGAAATGTTCAGAGCAAATTCATCAGAGAACAACAGGTCCTAGTGACTATGGGGTTCTCCCCGTCTTCTATTCATCACACAAGTGCGTGTAATACAAGAAGAGAAAAAAAGAGAGTTCATTGGTAATGAGGTTACACGAATATTGAGTCGATGCACCAACGCCACTGTTTGCGACACCATATCACCTAGTGTCTCTAACCACCGGCTACCATTATCTCGGAACCCCCATCCAGGGAGCCTAACGAGACCTATGTGACCCATTGTCTTGATTAGTGTTTTCATGCCCTCATTCCAGATCTTAGTTTAACCGTCCTTGAGCTTTTTTACTCGCTTCCATCCTTCGTTCACATGCTGCAGTGTATGATCGCGATTACCTAAAACTCTACGCCTAACCTCAGCATTGCTCATCCGGTTGCTCCACCAGACTCGTGTAATGCTGCGTAGACAGCGGTGTTCAAACACTAACGATGTCTAACAATGTTCTTGGTCATATTTCCTCTTCAGCCGTAGGTCTACACCAAGGAAACCGAAATATGAGCTGTAAACCGCTTCAGTGAACGAAATAGGGTTTCTATTAGAGAGCTGTGGTCATTATTTGGATGTTTTGGTCACATTTCTGAACTGCAGGGTTATCTCGCTCAATCTCACCATTGGATACGCGTAAACAGGCCCACGCACGTGGTACAAACCGTTTTGGCGAACTAACCTCAAACGTTAGTTTTAATTTAATCTTGACGTGGTTCATATAAGAATATGGCCTTAGTGAACGCAGAAAGGATAAATCAATCTGGTTTCTTTTGGTATGAGGGATTAACCAGTCTACTTTCCTCTATACGACTTGGGTTTGAATCCTAATGCCAGCACACCTTGGTCGCAACGGAATCTACTTTCTTTCACCTCTTATTTTATCCTTTCTATTAGGTAATTCGCCAGTCTAAGCCACAAGGTTTACTGCGTTACCTCCCCGTTTATAATCTTTGCACGCCAAATTACTATGTACAATCAGAATAGGTATCCATACTGCTTACTTACTTACATAGTCTCATAGTGAATCGTACTATAGTTCAGTCTTTAGGCCTGTAAGTTTGTTTTTCTTACTGATTTTCTACCAGTAGGTGGGCAGAGGTAAACTGCACAAAGACTGTGACAACAAAGGTCCAAAACCTAGTCTGTTGAATTCTCTATCGAAGTCCGGATACGTTCTGTGTGTGTGTGTGAAAATAATAAAAATACTGACCACGTCAAGCCGCAGTTTGTTTCCAGTGTGTTGAATGAAATACTCACATAGCGGGTTGGCTTGTCTCAAATGCCGACACATGTAGTCCTCTTTTGTACATAGTTTGATCGGGTATATCTCAAACCGGATGAATGTTTTCCCTAATATTATTGTAAATGGTGAGCGAGTGAGGAATTACCGAAGATGGTTTGGTCCTCTTCGGGGGAATTTGTTTTTGTCCGAAAGTTGTTTATTCAAGGGTCCTCAACAGACCGGTCATTCATATCCGATTGTGTAATACACTGTTGCCTTCAGTTATTCCCTGTCTCACTCATGTTTATCCTCGTCCTTGTCCTCATCATTCCAGGTGCATCGAGTGCATTGGATATTGGCTTTTCGAACTGGAGTTTCGAATTCATCACTGTTTCTCTGTAAGTTTGTTGTTGTTTTCGCTTGGATTGATCCTATTATTCTCGCCTGTTTACCGAGTTGGATATTTTGTTTTCAAACGTTTCGTCGCCAGTCGGTCTCGCGGTGATTAACTTTTGATTGTCCACTTATGTAGATAGGCTCTTCCCGCTCGATTTCGGCTGTTATCCCTTTGCAACTGAGAGAGATCAAAGGAAGTAGACAGAAAATAGGTCATGTATGGACCTACGCACGGTCCGAAGGATCATTCAAGATTGGTGGGGGGGGGTGACCTAATCCATGCTAGTTCACCAGTGAACCGGCATGAGAACAGGAAATAAAATGGACCTATACACATAAGGAAGAAAGTCAGAGCATAACTATACCTTTCCAAAATTATGCTGTGTCAGTTTGGTCAGTGCAGAGACTTAACCATTTCAGGAACAGGACGCCAATAAACTGTCGGTGTTCGAACATCGCTGTCTACACTGCATTACACGAGTCTGATTGGGCAACTGGACAAGCAGTGTTGTCGGTAGGCGCATAATTATATGTAATCACAATCACCCGCTGGAACAAGTGGTCAACTTCGATGGATTGCGTTGGGATATCTGTTATTCATTTTACTAAATAGGTTGCCACAGCGTGCGATGTTTGCAGAAATAATGAGAAAGTCAACAGCGGTCAGACTAAGACCTGCCATGATGGTATGAAAACTCTCACCAGGAGAATCGTTCACATGAGTTGCGTGTTAGACTTCCTGAATGGGCACCTCGAGATCAACGCAACCGATGTTTAGAAACACAATGATTTGGCTGAGTATCGTAGACTAAAACCACCACCACCACCACCGCCACCATCATCATCGTACAGCGAAATACCGTGAAGCAAACTTCAGTGATCGCTGCCAAGCTCTCAGTTACACAAAGTGAGTGAGAAAGTACAAATTGGATAAGATTTAGGACTAACTGGATTAGTTCCCATATCCTTCAGTGACTCCAATCAACCAGTAAGGGTCTTTCGGACCCCAACCTGGAAGGCGCGAGACACCCACTCTACCTAATCACTCCGTGCATTTCTTCATGCCTCGTTTTCACTTCATCTTTCGACCTCCACATGGTTTCCTCCAACCTGGAGCCGTAACTGCGAATAAGGCGCCATGAGGTAGCCGACAGCCTAGCATACGTGTCCCAACCAGCGAATCCGACTAATCTGAATTCCATAGGACAACGAATTATTCATTGAATCACTACCAAGTACTCAAAGACTTACCTTGGAGTAGTTTTCACGCTCGCTTCATCCAACTCACGTCAAACCACGTAAACATCGTCAGTCGAAAGCTTGTAGACAATGAATACCTTCCCCGCGAAAAATAAGGGTCGCCAAACCGTAAAGCAGAACTCGCCGAACACTGATGCAATTTGCACGACCTTTCAATTTCAAGGAAACACCACGTCTGCGCCAAAGGTGTTTCACTCATGCGTAAGCTGTCCGAGCCTTGGAAAGGTGGGCGGTTACTTCCTTGTCATTTGTCACTCAACTACCTGAGTAGGAGAAACAATCCACAATAACTAATTCTTGACCATCAAGCATCATAGCCGGGGTAGACGACACCCAATCTTGTAGCATCACTTTGCACTTTGAAGATGCAAAGCACATGCCGAACGGAGCAACAGAATTTGAAAATCTGTCAAGAACGCTTTACCCATCCTCCCATGCATTCGAAGTGACAAGCGATGTCCCCAGTGTACTCTAAGTCTCACAGCTTTTCTTCAGCTGCCCATTCAATACCTACGTTCTGGAGACCACTGAGTGCGTTCTCCATTGTTTGGTTTACGACGAAGTTGAATAGGAATCGCGAGAACTAGAGCACCATTCAAAACCGCCGCACGAAAATGCATGGTTAATGCTTGTTGTTTAAACTGAAACAGGCATACTGCAAGCACTAGAATTTGACCGGGGCCATTAGAACTACGTTTGCAGGCGAAATACCCAGCTCATCAAACTGGTCAAAATGAGTCTTTTTTGCTGTATTGTTGTATTCCTTTCACACATTCACCGTTAATTGGGCTCTTGTTCTTTGCTTTATCCTACTACTCCAGGTACACAATGACCAAGTCAACAAGCATAATTTTCATCCTACTGTTCTCAATCATCTTTCGTCTGGAACGTCGGGTACGTTGATTGATCTACCTGGTATATATGTACACACACACACGGGCACGAAATAAACTATTTTCGTTTCCATTTCTGCTTACCATCCCTTAATCCCGGTTTTTTTATTGGTACTGTGTTTCTCCCTCGCTCTGTGATGTAGCGCTTCTCCCTCGTCTTCGTCGTCTTGTTGATCGCGGTCGGCCTGTTCATGTTCTCCTATGAGGCCGCTCAATTCGATCTGATCGGATTCTGTTTGGTCCTGTTCGCCTCGTTTCTGAGCGGAATCCGATGGACCACGGCTCAGTTGCTGTCCCAGAAAAAGGAGTGGGGTAAGCTGGTGTGTGGTGATCCACAATTCGTCTTTCTGTTATCTGACGGACCTGTTGCCAGGCTCGTCTCCAGGTTGTGGATAGGAGGCCGTTCTCCGATTGGATAATGAAACGGGAATAAGGAGATTCATGGACGAACAGAGACAACACTGGAGGACCAACCCGCTTCACTATAAATTCCTCAGGTTTGTAGAGCGCCCTATAGCTTAGCGGTTGTGACTCGCCACCACTCCTGCCATTCTCACTCCATCCGAAATGGTATTGTGTGAAATGGAAATGAATCGCCTCAGAAGCCACCGGCTCTTCTGGAATAACTCTTCTGCCTTACAGAATACGCTTGAATGTGCAAAGGTTGGAAGTGAAACCTGAGCTAACAGGCCAAATGAGATGCCGTTGACTAACCTCTCACTCCGGACTGTGCGACCGAGTAGTGGAACAGTCCCTATTCACACCAATCTCCATTGTTATTATCCACAGAACAGACTGTCCCATAGGGGTAACAGTAATTGATTGAGCTAATACTGTTCTCCGCTTTTTTGCCTGATAGATCAGACCTGAAACCACAGTTGTACTCTGCAAGTTATCGAGAAATGATAGTGCGTGATCTGTTGTGTTTTAATCGTGCTAGGTAATCACTCATCTGTATACAATAGATTGCTTTCACTTACTCAGAGACCCTAGATTTTCGCTCCTACCGTCCGAAAGAAACGCGTCACCATGAGCTAACTAATTCATTCATTCAGAAGGAATGAAAATCACGGATTTCGTACCAGGACTCCAAAGCACTACTCAATGCATACATGTAGTGGAGCATACATTGACCGTGGTTAGAACTAAGTATGTGAAACACCGGGACCTGATTGCAAGTACCACTCCGAGGCACTTGACAAATGGCACGATTATGTGATCAGAAGCTGCGGGCGCCTTTTGTAGCACACTATCGCTTCGCAAACTGATGAGAATTCACCCGGTGGATACGTAAAACGTTTCTTTACCGAATTTGACTTGAGAACCAGGTCATGATAACCAATGTAGACGTGGTTTGTTGTCATGGTGTTCAGGTCCAATTTTTGTCCAACAATATGTATCCTCGCTTGTTGTTTGGATTGTGTCACGTGACAGAAACAAATAGGTACTGCGCGCCGAGATCATTCACATGGAGTTCGGTCCATCTGACCGAACCGAATGCACGGATTGCTATCAATGAACCGTTGGAATTTGGATTCACAGGGCTACCATGTGTCTTCATTTCTATCGGTTACTGAGAGATACCAATTGTTATCTGTCAGTCGATCAGCTGGTCAAACAGAAGGGCGAGGTAATGTGGAAATGGGGGGGCGGGGCGAGTGTGCAGTGTATGAATTTGGCTAACCAGCGCGGTACACGCGTGATTCTGTTCCATGAAGAGGTCTCAGGATAAGTACAACTTACGTATTTCATAACACACGCCACAAAACATGTATTCGACTTAACCGACAATGGGCCGATTTTGTGAGTTGTCATACTCGCGTATGTTTGTGTGAGCAAAGTTCAGAACTCCCCAGAGAGTTGCATGACATCGAATGCGCCCTTGGACTGAGTGTATAGGAGTGCGATTCGCAGTACCGTTCTGCTACAAATATATTGCTACATGATAGTAATAAAATGCTTCCGTTCTACCCGTTGGCTCCCGGGTTCGATCCCCGGTTGGGTCGATAGATTCACTCTGCTGATAACACCCGAAACCAGGTGAAAACAACTGTCCAGGGTTTCTCAGCTTTTCAGTTCACGCTTCATTTGCTCTGTAAAGGATGAAATTCACTATATTTTTATTTTTTATAAACCCATAGCGACCGTATCGTCAAATTGTGGTCCATGGTAATCTGGTCAATTTTTGGGTGAAGCCCCATGAACGCAATGCTCTTGTAACTCTATCCCTCTCACCGATATGCCTCAACTTCAAAAAACCGTCCTCCCTCCTACACACACGATTCCAATCCATACTAACCCNACACGATTCCAATCCATACTAACCCTGTTATACTGTGTTCATTCAATTGTGGGGCTGATATGCCCCCGACCAAGGAACTTACCATGCTCGCTTTACTTGCTGTGTCAGTCCTGGTTCCTTCACCAGTTTCGATCTTCGTTTATCAGCCGCTTCCCGTTTCTACTCTTCCCCAGTTTCGTGTGAGCTTTTGTCACATTAGGCTTTCTAGCGTTTTTTTTCGCTTTTTTCGGGCCCCCCCCTCTCTCTCACACACATCGGGACTCGAACGAACAGGCGACCGGGTCACGTATGACTGATATTTTGTCCGATTGAACATGAATGCATTTGGGCACTTTGTTTGGGTAGTGTGTATGATGTTGGTACCACGGTGTGGTCTTATATTTGTCTGTCAGCTATTACCACAGTCCGGCGTGTACTCGAAGGTCAGTGCATGATCCAGCACCCGGTATGCTTTCGTAGAGCTTGATGTCTTGTCCCCCATATGAGTATGCCTCTTCGAGTTATGTGAAGTCTACAGAATAATTTGTACACCCATGAAGGGTAGATGATCATCTTGCTATCATCTTATCCTCACTACTCATTAACTTCCAGACATAGTAACAGAAACAGAAACCCTTCTATCGGTGAATTATCTAGGAAACTTTCGGCTCCATCGCCGGTACTAACGTAACCGTATTTGTATTGTATTTAACACACACGTCCGAATCCAGACTGTGTGCCAAACAAATCGAAGTATTACTCACTGCCTCCTCGTGGCGGAATTGTTTTCCCACCCAAGTGAGAGGACGAAAAGCCTATATCCGAGGCTTTAACCTGGTTGGTGAACCACTGTCAGTTCATCTTGGGGAGTTAGCTAAAACCCCTCATTCCAAACCGGTCAACACACATACGCACACACACCTTCCCTGGTTGTGGCAATGATCACCGGCTCGATTGGGCATCGAGGTGTACTAGGCACTTCGGACGTTTGACCTCGTCCAAAGGGGTGTATAATTCGACGGACAGGACACACACCCCCAATGGAATGAGGTTTTCACACACCACCTCACTGCCTTTCGGGTCAGGCTTTAGTCAGCCGAAGGCTCCGGTTGTGAATAATCCAAGAAAATTCACCTACCAACTTGGCGGTATTCCGTTCACTTGCAAATCATGGAACGTTTTTTTCTATAAAGATTATTGTACCAGGATTTGTTTGGCAGACAGTCTGGTCTCAGACTTGTGTGAAATATATGCATATATGTAGCGGAGGTCGTTTAAGACTCTTGGTCTTATATGATCACTTCCTGGGGTGCAAGGGAAGAGTGACCAGCCAAAACCTAAGACACCCACCCCCGACCATTCTGAGGCTTCCGAAGGCACTAATGTAACCATGTCGCGGACTTTCGACAGTGATTGACTGTTATTAGAATATGATTAACCGCAAATTTAAAGTAAATCGAAATTAACTAAACGGTTGAGAGAGCTAGCAACTATAGAGTGGTGGAAATGATGTGGAATGGTTGTAGCTCGGGATGCGGGCGTTGGTGTTGGTGCGTTCTCCGAGCCCGGAGAACTCATCAACACTATAAAATAGTCTTTCATGGATAAATTGGCAATTGCAATTAGAGGCCAACAAACATGCAGTTTCAGTTTTTGAAATCATTACCGTGCACTTTCATGCATCAGTTTTGGTTTCTATCTTTTGGCTACTCATTTGGAGGAAGCAGTAGGTCAAAGACAGCAAGGTTGAAAGTAGAGCCGAAAAGAAAATTGAGAACTCCAATAAACTAGGACTGCAAAGAAATTGAGTAGATGCACTAGCGCCACTGTTTGCTGTACTCATCCATATCGCTTAGTGTCCCTAACCCCCGGTTATTGTGATCTCTGGGTCCCCATGCAGGGAGCCCAACGGGACCTGTGTGACCCAGTGTACTGGTTTGGGTTTTCATACCCTCATGCCAGACCTTAGTTTAACCGTCCTTGAGTTTTTCCACCCACCATCTGCCTCGGCAAACATTGCTCACCGTGGCAACCTATACGGTAACATGCGCAGCACATGTCCGAACCAGCGTAATCTATGGAGGTCGACCACTTGTTCCAGTAGACGACCGCGATTACCTGAAATTGTACCCCTTTGCTTGTCCAGTTTTCCCCACCAGACTAGTGCAATGCGGCCTAAACAGCGGCTTTCGAATACCGATCTGAACGCACAAATATGGGGTCTGAATATACTACAACAATGAGATGTGAATGTAAGAGTTGAATCTCTCATAGCTTACGTGCAGACAACCACAGCATTAACGGACCCTTTCTAAATTTTGGCTGAGGATAACAGGTACGGTTTGATTAATAAATCGACTGACTATATGAAAGCAATCAATAACTTCCAAGTGCTCATTATTTCTATAGGTTCTATGTTGCCGTCAGGGGATGTTTAGGTGGTATTTCATACTTGAACGGTTACTTGTTTACCACTTCCGTACTGATTTTTGGCCACTCAGTCGTGCGTATTCTCCACCTATAGGTGGAACACCATCAATGCACGACTTTTAAATCTCAATAAACTAATCTCGTGGTCTTTCACAATTACCTGCTTTATTGCGCCGATTGTCGTCATTCCAGGTCGGATAGTGTAGGTTGCCACTGTGTACAATGAGCATTGCTGGAATCGCGGAAATTTGTTTTCGCCCTTAGGTGCCACGTTCAAAAAGTAGTATGATGCATGATTAAACAAACGAACAAACACAGGAAATAAAAGTTGTCCACGCCCATCTACCTTACGGACGGTTTCTATTACATTGTTAATATCTATCTAATTTGAGGTAAAACACGAAACAAATTTGTATTTGTGAGCTATTTTGGTATGAGGAATTCTTTAGTAGTTGTTTTTCATTTGTTCTGATCATATTATGTGAAGTTAGGTGTTACCACCACATAGGTGTTAACTGTTTTGTTTTGGGACAACCAATCAGAACATCGCTGGGTGAACTCAGGTGATTGGCCGGAACCGCCAACCAATCAAGATGGTTTACAGCAATCCGGTCAACCAATCGTTCGACATATGGATTCCCTTGCCCTCGCTCTTTTCCATAAATAACCATGATTTTCGCATTATAAACGAATTCTTATACGCTTCCAGCTGTGTTCTATTTCACTGCTTGCGGAGTTCCTATCTGAACGAGAAACGTTACCGGAAGACGATCCTTTTGAGAATCCAGTACCGAATCAAATCTGGTGTGGGTACAATATTAAGGGCTATTGTAAACTACCGTCATGTGTAACTGGTGAATGTTTCAATCGGAAGTATTTGATTTGATTGTAACGAGAAGGCGAGCTGGCTGGGAAAATGTCTATTGATTCAATTCAAAAACAAACTGTGTCTACGTTCGATTATATACAGTCAATTCTGAACCGCGCGGCGGGATGATTCATGCCTCTTTCTGTGGATCATTCGTTGTTGGTCTTGGTCCGCACTTGGCGCGTACGTTGCCTCTTCTTCCGCGTGCCATTCCGACTGGTTTGACCCGATCGCGGCGCGCGATGCGTTGATCGACAGCTCCGACGTTGTGGCATTCGGTGGGTATCTTTCCCGTTAGCTGCGGATTGTCTTTCGGGCTGTAATTGTCGATTCACTCGTTTCGGGTGGCAGTCAACATTGTCTCGCGAGGCACTTCCCGCCACTGCGTCTGTGCGTCTGGTCGGATAGGCCCCATTCTTGCTTCGGTCGCTAGCCAGGACTCTCTTTGAACTGCCTTCCATCACACTATGATAATGCGATTTACGGTTACCTACAGGATGGCTTCGTTCAACGGTTGACAACTAATAACCGGGGTGCCTTCAGTAACCACATAGTGAGAACTACGCCAGTTCATAGGCGTTTCAGGTTTCTCAGCATGCCATCAAGTGAGAGCTTTGCCGAAGAAAACAGCTTGTCCATGATTTTTTGGGGCTAGCATTTGCTTTCAACTTGGTTCCATTGTGTAACGTTCTTACTTTGGTGATTCTCTTTAAATTGAACCCTGTGTTTTGTGACAACCAACTGTGTTCACAGGAGCCTCTTCTTTTTACCTTGAAGAGCGTCAGACTCGCGTGCAGCAATGAGATCGCAATGTGTGGGCGTATTCTTGTCCTGAAGAATCATCTGAGTAATTGTCGTTAGGGGTTGTCGGATCAAAACTTCTAGACAAAGTCGACTGTGGATAATGCTGTCAGGAGAAATACCGACTTGTTCCGATCCAGTAGCTCCCCCACACGTGCGCTGGACCTTCGTTGTGTACGGTATTGTCGCTGTTATCATGTCATTTTCAGTAATTTTGGAGCCATTTTCCCACTCAAATATTTGGCGGTTGTGCTTGATTAACGAAAATATTGATTCATCGATCCAGTATGTTCGTCGCTCTAAACACATCTCAATCCAAACGCAATTTTGGGTGATGTTCAGGGAACGGAAT